AAATTCATGACAATTTTTAGCGAGATCCATTCAGACGTTCTGGAGATATCTTCTAACAAACATCCATCCATTGACTATATTATAAGTGAGATGTTAAATATTTATTGTTACATTAGCTGCCGCCCGCGACTCTGTCCGCTCGTTATTAAAAAACCTAATTAATAAGCTTATGTCTTCTTACAGACTATGTTCTACATGTATGCCAAATTTCAGCGTGATCCGTGAAACCGTTCCGGAGATACCTACAAACAAACATCCATTTAAACATTAGCATTTATAATAGTACCTGGATGACCGAGGTTTGCTTAGTATTTTTTTTTAAATTGTGTTTTTTGGAAATTATATTTAAGTACGAATTACTAATAAAATGATGAAATATGAATATTTTTCGATCTTACCGATAGAAAAAGTTAAGTTTATGTTTAAGTTGATTATCGATAAAACACGAATAAAATGACATTTGCTAAAAATGATTCCTAGCTACATCGATTTATCGCCCCCGAAACCCTCTAGATACTAAATTTTATGAAAATCGTTGGAGCCGATTCCGAGATTCCAATTATATATATACAAGAATTGCTCATTTAAAGATATAATATTAGTAAGATACAAAATATTGTTACACAAGTTTCTGAATCCTACACAGCCAATGGACAAGAGGATGATCCTCCAATAGTAGGAATGTTTGTAGATAAAATGAAGGATAAAAGTAGACACGGTGTTGGGCCGCGCTCGATTCAAAGCTGGATCTAAGGATTTGTGAACTGTTCACATTTATCTTGTAGTTTTTATAAAATAATGTACTCGAATGTATTGTTATAGAAAAACAAACGTAATTAAATTTGAAAATATATTTGAGTTACCTTTAAATGTATTTTATAAAATTACATGTTAGCCATTTTATATATTCTGTAATTCCATAACCTAAAACGTTATTTAGTCTATGCTATAAGTCAATAACACGTTTGTTTATTTAAAATAACAACATTAATCATTTGTATTACGATCCAAAAGATTATTTAAATATTTGATTCTCAAATATAAAATAGAAGTATTCAACTTATCATGTTAATTGTCTGGCTGTATTTCGTTATCGTAAATTAAAAGTATAGTAATTGCTCGTCTGAATGACGGCCATGTTTTTCTGACATTCGGGGAATGAAAATGACAATGTAACAGCGGTGTTTTTGAAAAAGTTGTTGTTTACAATTCTAAAAGAAACATATGAGTTAAAGAAGACTATGTTTTATTTGAAAAAGTATTCTCCGGCTGTGACTCCCACATACATTTGTGATATTGCGATTTATCATGAGTTTATTTTATGTTTAAAATTTATTAATTTTTGTTTTTGTTAAGAGAAAGGTTATAAAGAAAAATATGTAGAATCAGTGCGGTTTCTTTGAAAGAAAATGCATTGAACTGTTACAAACGAAGTCTTAAATAAATATTGTATTGAAGACAAATTGTATTTTACTAAATCGAGCTTATTTAAAATTCATGTTTCTCTCAGCACAAATGGCTACAAAGCCAATGTCGTTCAGAACATTTCTTTGCAGACTTAAACGTCGTTAGATGTATTCCTTTGATCTGAGTTTATTTAAATTTAATTCTAGAATCGAAAAGCTTTAGTACAACTTATTTAACGAAACGTTATTTTCGATTTACGAGAAATCAACAAATTAAATTTTATATGTATATCTTTAGATTTTTATTAGTACTAGACTAATTTAACTTCAAATATTTTTATCATTTTCTGTTTATCAGAGTTTAACATCTTACTAATATTATAAATGCGAATGTCAAGATGGATGGATATTTGTCTGAAGGTAGATATAGTTAAACGGATTTTGCTTATATTTGGCTTAAATGTAGAACTTTTTTTTTTTAATTCCGCACGGACGGAGTCGCGGGCGACAGCTAGTATTTATACAAATATAACGTAAGGAGTTCTAAATGTATGTGTTTAATTATTACAAGAGTGGCAATAATTATACACAACAGATGTCGCTGAGGCGCTCGGTTATTTTGAGTTTATACTGATGCGTGTTTAACATCGCGTGTAGTCTGCAATGTTTATTTTTTCTTTACTATTAAAACTTTTCTGATGAGTATTTTATTACTGTCAACAAATAGCAGATTTACTTAGTAGGAAAATTTAGTTCTTAAACCTTTGCTTTCTTTGTTCCTTTCAAACAGAATGAAAGAGATAAAAATTAATAATACGTACTGTATTTTAACTATTTATTATAATATGAGGTTTATTGGAAAGCAGAGATTGGATTTAAGAGTGGTAGAACCCGCTTTAACATCTTCGCACGAATTGGCCAGGTTCGCCCGGTGAAATACCACCACCACACAGAAAACAGGCGTGAAGTGGAAGAAATTCCGCGTTTCGTCTGATGAGTGTGGTCCCGGAGGCCCAACCTCCCCCCCCCCCTTTAATACAGCATGGCAGTGGGATTAAAAGAGAAAGTACCCCAGGGGGGTACCAAAACCCCTGGTTTTGGAGAATCCCCCTCCGCGCGCTTACGCCTGAACTCTCGCTTGGAGTCTGGGGGTAAGCGCGCGGGCCGCCCTGCGTATTCTGGGGGGGGCAACATTCCGCTCGCTCGCTGTAGAGGCCGGGGCAAACGAGGCCAGGCACTTCCACCCCCTGCCACCCACGCAGTGGACCTCTGCAATATCAGGGGACTCCATTCCAACTTGG